ATACCCTGTCTCAAAGAGAAAGAAGGGAACGGTAATTGACAGTGACCTTTCTCCCATGTATCAGACGGAGGTTCTGAGGGATAGTATATTAGCTAGTATATACCTGTGCTTGAAAAACTAAAAACATCTTTTTTTTCTGCCTTAATTTGTTTTAATTTAAGCTGTTACATTATCTTTATCTGTAGTGCTCTCCCCACCCTCCATTCTCCCACTTGCCTTAGGTATTGTGTTCTCAAATCATGTGTTGTTTTTTAAACACAAAAAATATTTTCTAGCCAGTCCAAAGATCTGGAAATAATAGGGTAAGTGGTAACTAACTTGGAGTTTTCTATTCTTTGAAATAATTAAAATAATTAGTATGTCTTTTATAAATTATAAGTGGGTCAACTGAGCATTTATCTTATAACAATTCTACCTTCACTATTTATTTTTAAAACTGTGGTAACAGTGGATCCATCCTATACACATGTGGACCAAAGGTTTGCCATCTTCCTTATTATTGGGAATCCAAGCCAGTCTCTTGGCCTCAGAAAGGCCTTTATTTAAGGGAATTTTATGTTCATTAATAAAACATTTTTTTTAATCTGTCTTTTCTTTAGCAGAACATGGTAGGTAGTGAATGAAACCACACCAAATAAATCACACCCTTTCTACCCTTCCACTTTTTGTCACCACGGTGTCTTCTGAATGGCAGTGCTGAGTTTGTGAAAGGGGGAATCCCTGTGGGTCTCTGACGTAGACACCTGTGCACTGAGCACTCCCCCTGTTCTGCTGCTGCACTGTGCAAGGTTGCACGCCATGTTTTTATCTTTGGAATATTTACTCATATTTTTAATGCTAAAATGTCCTACAAAATAAATATGTAAATGAAACAGTGAGAATACAACTTGAATGGACATTGAAGAGCGAGAAGATGATGGGGGAGTGAAGGTCATGTGGCAGACTTCCTAGGGCTCCACCTATTTGTCCTGATTTCATCTGTGTTAAGAAATAACATGGACTTTTTAAAGCTCTTCAATCATGGCTGTCTTTCAAGGTTAAAGTGAGGCCGTAGTATTTCTGCTAACTTGCCGGGGTCATTCTCAGAATCTACAAGGGTTCAAGGAATCTGGAAAAGGGACTGTGTGTAAATTAATAAAGAGACTAGAAATATAAATTTGGAATACATGGGGGAGCCAGGGGAAGCTTAGTTCTAATAACCAAGCTCTCTCTGAATCTTCGTCTCCAGGGCTTTTTATTCACACATTTTGCCCTAAAGTAAAGCAGATATACATATCAAAGGTAAGGTTTGGTAAGCAGTAAAGTATTATGTTGGGGGAACTACCTACAGCTGTTCAGCAGCAGGTAATAACATGTAGATTTTCAGGTTTGGGGAAATGCTTTCGGCCATTCAGCTGTTTGGCCAGCAGGCAATAATATGTATCTTCAGCCCTGCTGAAGCCTCAAGGTTCGCCAACCTTTTGATGAACTTCTTGCATTTATGACCTGCTGGAATTAGCCTCCAGCACTAACTGATCTAGAGTATAACAATATGGCAGCTCAAAGTTGAGGATGTAGATTAGTTGGACACACAAAAAAATTGCAAGGCTGTTTCTTAGGCAGGAATCTCCAATTTGGGGATTGCCTTGTGAGCAAAGATAGCGCCTAATAAGTAGGCAGGAGTAAAACAGAACATAAATGTTGATAGAATCACATTTTTAGGCACATCCTTTAAAAAAAATTCTTTATTGTTTAAAGTATTACATATAGTAGTCTCCTTTTCCCCCCATTGACCTCTCCCCAGCCACCCCCATCCCCAGCACATGCCCTCACCCCTCTAGTGTCTGTGTCCATTGGTTATGCTTATATGCATACATACAAGTCCTTTGGTTGATCTCTTACCTCCACCACCACCCCCATCCCACCCCCACCTTCCCTCTGAAGTTTGATGGTCTCTTCGGTGCTTCTCTGGCTCTGGCTCTATTTTTGTTCATCAGTTTATGTTGTTCATTATATTCCACAAATTAGTGAAATCATGTGATATTTATTTTCTCTGACTGGCTTATTTCGCTTAGCATAATGCTCTCCAGGTCCATCCATGCTGTTGCGAATGGTAAGAGTTCTTTCTTTTTTACAGCAGCATTAATATACCATTATAGGCAAATCCTTTATTGGATCCTGGGAAGGTCAGATGATGTTCATTTTATTCACACACACATACTTTAAAATATAAACCTATTTTTATTCAATATTTGGGGTATGAGAAGAAGGTTCCACAGACTGTTCCAGCCATAAAGAGAAAAATATAGTGAGAAGATGGGAAATCAGACTAGTCATTCTTCAATTTTGAAGAGATGGAAATTTTAGGTACCAGTGGAGAGGAATGGCCCATTTGAAAGAGATGTTGGACAGATGCCTAGATCTTTCAGGAAAGGACACTTCAGAGCAGCCCAGCAGCTGGGCTTACAGTTGAGGTAGAGCCACCAAAGAACTAAAGACAGGAGGTCCAATTGCATTTCACTTTTGCGGTTTCACTTTTATACAAAGGGTTCTTCATTCACTATCATTCATTCATTCATTCATTCGGCAACCATTCGGTGAAGTTGGCTCTGTACCAGGCACCACTGTAGCCCCTGGAGCCCCAGCAATGACCATGACATGGTAGCTCCCTCATGAGGGGTACTTTTGGGGCATTTCTCTTATGGCCTTCCTGTAGGGAGTTGCCTTGCCAGGTGGTCCTGCCAGGAGGAATCCTTCGTCCGACAGATGAGATATTCATCCTCTTTCTTCCCAGCTAATATCAGCGTTAGTCCCTTTCCTCTCTGTCCTGCCCACCCTTCTGTGCCACCAAGGTCTCTTTAGAGAAGATGGATCTCTCAGGACTGAATGGGAGATTTGTTTTATTTCTTCCTTATCCTTGGCAAGGACTCTCATTTTTTTTAACAAATAAGGCAGAACACATCAATAGGAAAAGAAAAATAAGAGCTTTCCTTGCCAGTGTTGCTTAGTTACCTTGTCAACATTCCCTTAGAGCCCGGCTGAATTCTCCTGCATATTTTTATAGTGCACATCATGTTTTATTTCTATAATTGATCTATTAAGCAGGAAATATGGAGAACATATGGAGCTCCTGTCAATTTTATGCTGTTTATTTGGATTTCCATGTTTCTCTTTCCACAAGACCTCATTATCATCTTTTTTCATTCTAACCTGGGTAACAATGGGCAGGAATCGCATCACTATTTATATCGGTGCTTTTAACTTTGTAGCTTAAAAAGCAAAACCCAGTAGACTAACCTCAAAGCTAGACATCACATTGTGGATTTTTCAAAGGGAAGGGACCAAGTTTTTAGTTGCTCTGTATCCTTTCTGCCTTAGTCCCATGTCTGCCACATAAAAGGCCTTTAGTAAATGTTTATTGGTTAAAAGAACAATTGGTTTCACATATTTATTGAGAACTAGCATTGTAGTGGGTGCTATTCATAATATAGAATGTGCTTATAGTTTCTACCCAGGGAACAAAACGTATGACTTGTTCTTCTCTTCCTGGAGACAACAAGGACAGAGAATAATGACTATTACTGCCAACACTACATTTTATTTAGTGCAAGAAGCTTTTCTGCATGAGACTGTAGCAGCAGTATCAGCAGCCACGTTCTAGCTGGTATTTATGAAAAGGTGTTCACTGGGAATCTCCTAGCTTCAGGGTGCTGTGCTGTCCAAATCATTCAAGATCAAAATACCCGGTCATTGTCACCATCTGTCAAGGCCATTGTGTTCAAAACAGTGTGTCTCTGGGTTATTCTCTTTCTCACACACACATATGCAAACTCAACAGAAAACTATGTTTATGATGCCAACAAAACACCAAAAGAAAGTTTATTTAATCATCTCTTTCCCCAGCCAATCAGGCACCCCTTCAACCCAGTGTTCCTCAAAGCATATACTTCTTAGATTTTACTAATATGCAGAATTAGATCTACTAAGTCTGGGAGGAGGTCCAAGAGTCTGCATTTCTAATAAGATCTCTTAGATCAGGCCTTGATAGTTAAAGCATCATCCATGGACCAGTAGATTTGGCACCACCAGGGAGCTTGTTAGAAATGCAGATTCCGCCCTGGCTAGTGTTACTCAGTGGTTAGAGTGCCTGCCTGTGCACCGAAGGGTCTTGGGTTTGATTCTGGGTCAAGGGCATGGACATGGTTGCAGGCTTGATCCCTGGCCCTGGTTGGGGCACATGCCAGAGGCAACCAATTGATGTGTCTCTTTCACATCAATGTCTCTCTCTCTCTCTTTCTCTCTCTCTCTCTCTCTCTCTCCCACTCTCTCTAAAATCAATGGGAAAATATCCTCAGGTGAAGGGGTGAGGATTAACAAAACAATAAAAAGAAAGAAATGCAGATTCTTAGGTGCCATCTCAGACCTACTGGGTCAGAACCTGGGTTTTAACAAGATCCCACATTGTTCTAACCATTTATGCCTACAATATAAGTTATAGGCAGGAGTCCTGATGGGGCTCTGGGTTGGAAAATAGGCAGGTAGACTTCCTGTTCCCATTTCAAAACTCTTGTGTACCCCTCCCCCAACTTAGCACCAGGCACCAGATAAAGGCACAGACAGATGCCTCCCCTCCCCCAACTTAGCACCAGGCACCAGATAAAGGCACAGACAGATGCCTCTTTGTTTAGTCATTCACGGCATGATGGATTTGTTATGTATCTTGACTACCATGTTCATCCATAACACCTTGGAGAGGTCCATTGGGCCTATTAGCACACAAGGAGGAGTAACCAGAGATTTGACCAAGATCACGAAGAAAAACAGTGTGATGCCTTTTCCTACTTGGTTATTTGCCTGGTTTGAATCACCAATACAGATTCCCAGGGGTTTGGCTTAACCTCCACATCCACATACCTCGATGGAAGTGGGCACAGCTAAATGCAAAGTGGTAATCTGGTCTCCGCCTTTGTCATTTCTTAAATGGAACCTGGGCACTTATGAGACTCTTTTCTCTCCTTTAGGAAGAAACATGAGATTCCCCTGGAAATCGCCCGAGAGGAAGATGGAAGGGGCCATTTAAAAGTGACAGAAGCTGCAGGCCGCAAGACTGGGGCCAGAGGGCTGGCAGTGGAAAACTCTGTTGGGTTGTGATCTCTCACTGAGAAGTTCCAGGTGCTTTTTTGCTTCCTGCAAAACAAAGGAAGAAAAGGAGAAGACCATGTCCATAGCTCTGAAGCAGGTGTTCAACAAGGACAAGACCTTCCGGCCCAAGAGGAAATTTGAACCTGGCACACAGAGGTTTGAGCTCCACAAACGGGCTCAGGCATCCCTCAACTCAGGCGTGGACCTGAAGGCGGCGGTGCAGCTGCCCAGCGGGGAGGACCAGAACGACTGGGTGGCTGTGCACGTTGTGGACTTCTTCAATCGGATCAACCTCATCTACGGCACCATCTGTGAGTTCTGCACCGAGAGGACCTGCCCTGTGATGTCAGGGGGCCCCAAATATGAGTATCGGTGGCAGGATGACCTCAAGTACAAGAAGCCGACCGCACTGCCCGCTCCCCAGTACATGAACCTGCTTATGGATTGGATCGAGGTCCAGATCAACAACGAAGACATCTTTCCAACATGCGTGGGTAAGTCCATGGCCAGCTTCTTGGTTATTTTGTCACATCCCACCTGAGCTCAGAAGGTTTGTAGAGGTTCCTTCCAGGACTGCCTTTGAACACTGGATACCACATGTCATCAATCAATGTTTCCCCAAATTCCATCTCTCACGCACCTGCGGTTTCTTTTTCTATATCTAAGAACCTCATTGAGATTTTGAAAAATATCAGTTGTGGATACTTAGAATAATTTCATGGACCTCAATCATGAAATCACAACTGTCACATACTGGGGGACATTGTCTTGGTGAAATGTTAGATTTGATCTTGCTGGCTTCTTTAGGACTAGACCTTAAACCCACCCAGTCATTCTGGTAAGGTTCTTATTATTTAACTAGTTAACTAGTTAAAGTTACATGATCTCTGGTGCAGTTATGGTATTTACCTCTCAGGTTAAGAAATCCTAATGGGAGAATCCATGGATTTGTTTGGGGACCAATCAAACAAGGGGTTAACATTCTGGGAAAATAAAGATCCTGCCATTCTGTTCTTCCCTCTCCTGATCACAGCTTATTTATCCCAGGTTATGCTGTCAACTCTAGAATCTTGTGTAGTTGCTCGACTCACCAGGATACTTGAAATGCAAATGATTTTGTTTCCCTTGTGCTCTGAGTCATAAAACTCTTCAAGGGGAAGAGCCAAACGTTTTCTACACCTTGTATTTCTTTCTTTATGCTGCTGATCATTGGTGTTTCCATGCACTGACAGACTGAATTTAAAATTCAAGGTTCTTAGGCCCTAGGTTCAATGGGAAAGAGCAATCTCCTTACGTCCATTGTCATATCTCTAGTGTCTAGCTAGCATGGTGCCCGGAAACCCTTGTAGGCACTCAGGAAATATTTGTGGAATGACTGAAAAAATACTTGTGCTGTTAGAAAGTATTATTAAAAAGCTCTGAAATGGTTGGCGGATAAAAGAAGCATTTGAAATGCATTGCTGAAATCACTTCTAGTTGGGATGCGTGTGTCCCCATGTGGCATATGGAAACTTGAGGTGGGGCGTATGGAAGTAATTAAGTTAATACCAGAAGAAAGTGCATAAATTGATTAAGGCAGTGCGTACATCTTGAAATATTCAGCACACAAACCAATTTGCTCAGAATCGTGGTGTTGCCTTGACTTGTCCAGTCCCCTCATGCTCTTTCTCTCTGCTGCCCCTTGTTAAGGAAGGAGGTTGGCAGGGGGAGAAGGGGTGTTGCAAACCCTGACTCACCAGACTAGGAGGAAGAGGGCAGATTCCAACCCCTCTCGCCAGCCATCTAATAGGCACCTCCAGTGGGCGAGAATTTCTTAGGTTCATGTCTTTTTGCACTTTCTTTGACAGTCAGAGGCTTCTTTTGTTGCTGGGAAGAATTTTTCTTTTCCAAAAGCATCACCAGCCACTGCCAGTGCTCTGTGCAGAGCACATGCTAGCAATAAAGATAAATAAATGTGGGCCAGGAGACCTCCTCTTTGTCCTTTCCCTTCTGTTCCTGCTCCCTGATGCTTTGAACTCTGGGCACTTCTGCTCTTGCTGGCAGCTGTGGCTACCACGTAGGGCCATGGTGTGTTACTTGAGGGTGAGGAAATTCCTGGAGGTGGTTTTAGACTTTGCTTGGAGGAAATCAGGGGGTGTCACCATGTCCCCTAGAGTAACTGACTTTGCTATCTTTTTCTAGACATTTTTTTTAGTCATTCACTTGGTTTGGGGGGCATACTCTCCTCATTAGAATCCTTCTCAATTTATGTTCCATAGTCCACCAATGTTCTGGGAGATCTTAATAGATGCACCATGATTTTTTTCCCCATGAAAAAATAAGTTTGGGACATGCTGAGTGAAATTGATTTCTTTATTGCAAGACTTTTAATATGCTAATATGCTTTATAAATCTCCAAGAAAGGAATAATACTTTAGTATGTAGTTTTTCCTAATTTGAACCTGCTGGCTTTTTTTTTTTTATGGAACATCATTATCATCTTTTGGGAAATGTTGATGTATATAAATTAGAGTTGTCAAACTTTTGTTTGTGTCAGAATTACTTGGGGCTTCTGTTAAAAATATAAATTCCTTGTCTCCCCCCCCCCTTAACAACTAAATTAGAATCTCTTAGGTAAGACCTAAGAATTTGCACTTTTAATAAGAACCCAGCACTCTATCTTCTGTTTATTGTTAACCACTGAGAATACTTTTCATTCCCCAGAAACCGTGTGTTTCTTACCTCTCTGGTTTTATCCACACTGTTCTCTCCTATGGATTCACCATCTTCTCTTGCATCCTTGATACCATGTCTTCTTCCATCAATTGAGTGTAAGCCCCTTACAGTTATGGAATATGTCATATTCATTTGACTGTCTCAGCACTAATCCAGTCTTGGTGCCTTATAAGTTATGAATGGGTGGGTGGGAGGATGGATGGGTGGATGGATGGACGGATAGAAGGAGGATGGAAAAATAATTTTTATAAAGTCCCAACATGTCTACGTTGCTGATGATCAAAGTGAAGTTAAACAAATGTCTCTGAATCCCTTTAGTATCATCCTGGGTATTTTGTGTACCTTGCCTCCACAAAGCTTAATTTTCCCTGTTTTACTTTTCCAAGGTGAAATGTTAGGGCTCAGTAAAAACAACCACCATCCACCGTCACCCTGAAGGTCTTCATGAGCTTCCTGCTCACCTCTGTTATTTGCCCTCAGACCATATTTTTGCTATTTTTTGAAATAACTTATCTTCAGGAGCCACTTTCTTCGTTAGACTTCACTTCCTGCTCTTCTTCCTTCCCCCTATTCCAGCCTACTTTTCTTCTTTTTGATCTTTGTGCTGCTATGAGTCATCATTATCATGGAAATGATCAAGACACCTGTCAGGATAGAGTCAAAGAAGAATTCTCAGCAAACAGCAGACCCTGGGTGGATGAGAAGCGGGGACTTCTGCTTAGCATTACAGCTTTGAATCCCAGGCATACTTCTGGGGAGTGGAAGGGGCTCCAACTTCGCCTCCTCCCCACTGTGATCCAAGGAAATAGAACCGGAAAATACTGACAGATGTGAAGGCTTCGCCCTTCATTAGGTATTAAAGGATATAAACAGCTGTTGATCAGTACCATTGAAATATGGAGGAAAGAAAAGCTTTCATCTGCTCCTAGATCCCAGGGTAACCAGGAGACCGGGGCTGTTTCAGAAGTTGAGCTTTCTCAGTTGGGGAAATACCAAACAGATGTGGCTCCCTTGTGAACCATAGTCTCCTGCACTTTCCCTTGATCCTCTCCAGCTTCCTTTGTTAAAAAGCCAACAGATGTCCCCATTAACGCTCCTAAGGTAGCAGTAACTTCAGAAGCAAGGCCATCTCCTCTTCGATTGTATCTCTGTCCACTTTTAGAGGTAATGACAGAAAATAGGAAGCCTACGAAGCCACCTTTTCCCCCCTGTTATCTGTCTAATTACAATAATTTTTATGTCCTAGCCCTCAGCTTCCCATTTTTCTATTATGTAATAGGATTCAGTGTCTTAGATCTGACACTCAGAAAAAAAATGAGTAGAAAACTTAGAGCTCCCCCAACTCATGTTTTAAAAAAGTCTTTGAACGTGGAGCAATAAGAACATTTTTAAAAATAATTACATGATCTCACCTACCTCTATGGTTTTAGGATAAATGGGTGTCAGGGAAGGAAAGATCCGGGAAAGGAAGGGAAGGAGCGAGGAAGGGAACTCATATTTATTGAGCCTGCTAAGTGCCAGGCACTATTAATCTTTCTTAATCCTTATAATAACTCAATGAATTAAATATCTCATTTTACCAATGAGCAAGCTGATATTTAAACAAGCTAAGGGGCTTTCCAGTTTTATAGCTAACAAGTCATTCACAAGTCAGCATTTTAGCTCAAGAGTGGCCCAAAATCTATTCCTTTGTCATCTACTACCATTCACAGTATGTATCATTATTTTGTAAATTTTCCTTCACATAACTAAAGACTTCAGTGGTTTTAGGAGGTTGTCTAGGATGGAGAAAATTTTTGAAAACCCAGTTTTTGCTATAATTTTTAAAGAAACGACTTGGTTTTGTTTTTACTTGGTTTTGTTTTTGTTCACTCCTGTTTAATTACCTCCGGGGTTTACTGCCACTATAGCTGTTCCCCCGTCGCATCCCACTATTGGACAGAGGATGACGTAGCTCAAGAAAGGCTTTGTGAGCTCATGACTATCCATTACTGCCATTTGGTCATTCATTCATTCAGTAAATGTTTGTCGAGCACCTGCTTGGAAGCAGGTTCTATTTTAGGCACCAAGAGAGCAAAGCAGAAATCCTGTCCTTAAGCAGTCTCCCTAATGTCCAGAAGGTCTGGTTGCTCCAAATTGCTCTGCACGTTTGCTAACATGAGTAGTTTGTTCAGCGGCCAAGTGCATAGTGGAAAGAGTTGCATCCCTCTGGTAACCTTTCTCATGAGACTACAGCTGAGTTTCATCCTCTCTCAAAATATTGTGGCAGGAAACACGAGACTAGAAAACTGTCCATAGAGATGAGCTTTTCAGTCATGGGCTGTCGGAGAACTGAGTTTATAATGAGCCTTTAAATTGTAACTTTGCATATTCTATTGCATGTTTCCCTCGTGGTATTTTAATTTTGATAGAAATGTATATAATACTGGTAAGACAGAATGTACATCAACAACATAGACTTCCAGTGTGGTAGACCCAACACCGGGCTTGCGCACAGAGACTTGGAGGAGGTCAGCTAGCTCTGCATTGCAGATGCTTGCGACACTGGTATGGCCTCAGAGCCAACATTTCTCTCTTAGTCAACTATAGATTATAATTCTGATCTCACAGGGCTGTTGTAAAGATTAAATGAGGCAGTGTGAGTAAAAACTCATGGCTCAGAGCCATCAGCACCCAGAAGAGGTGCTGAAAAACAAATGTGTTAGTCACCTCTCCGCATACATTTCTACATAGCTATTAACCAGAACTCATGTAGACCACTAAACGATTTCTGAACAAC